ATAAATGATGAAAATAAAAAGAAATAAACAATAAAAACAAATTGAAAAAAAATAAACACAATTAATACATAAATTATAATAAAAAAAAATATACAAAACACACTATACAAAATAATACATTATAAAATAATTAAAAAAAAAAAAAATATATATATATTATATTATACAACAACAAAAATTAAACATGCAATACAAATGTAAATAAATTACACAATACATCGATTATAATACACAAAGTATATTAACAACACTATTAAAAAAACACACTATAAATATAAATAAATTATATAAAACATAAATTATAAAACAAAAAAAATATAAACACAAAATACAAAAACAATACATTATAAATAAATAAAAAAAAAAAATAATTGAATAAAAAAAATATAATGAATACAAAAAATATATTAACACACTATTAAAAAAACACACTATAAATATAAAAAAAAAAATTATATAATTCATAAATTATAATACAAAAAAAAATAAACACACTAACAAAAAATACATTATAAATAATTAAAAAAAAAAAAATATATATATATTATACAACAACAAAAATTAAAACAAATAAAAAAAAAAAAAAATAATAAATTACATATTACATCGATTATAATCACAAAGTCAATATTAACACTAAAACTATAAATAAAATAAAATCTAATAAAAAATTATAATACAAAAAAATATATAAACACACTATACAAAAACAATACATTATAAAAATAATAAAAAAAATAAATATATAAATATATATTTATATACACACACATATATAGAATCTAAAAAAAAACAATAAACATGCTCTACAAATAAATAAAATATATAATATATAAATTATAATACAAAAATATATAAACACAAAAAAATATATAAACACACTAATACACAAACAATACATTATAAATAATTAAAAAAAAATATATAAATATATATTATATACACACACATATATAGAATCTATAAAAAAAACAATAAACATGCTCTGCAAATAAATAAATTATATAATATATAAATGATAATACAATAAAAAATATATATTAAACACACTATAAAATATATAAATACACTATAAAAAAATAATTAAATGATATACCGTATAAATGAATAAAAAAAAATTAATAAACACAAAAAAAAATAAATACATTCTAAATAATTTAAAATAAATTTATATATATTATAAAACATTAAAAATTAAACACATTATGCAAATAAATAAATAAATTGTATAATAAATACATTTTAATACCAAAAATACATATTAATATAAAATAAACACTATAAAAATAAATATATTTTATAATATATAAATTATAAAACCAAAAAATATATAGACTCACTATAAAGTATATAAACACACTGTAAATTGTATAAATAAATATATATAAATACAATATATAAATACATAAATGATTATAACAAATTTTATATATATACTGTATATACACATTTCAGTAACAAAAACGAGTTCCCCCTCGAAGTAGGACACGGGTGACACACTCCACACACCACACACGGGTGACACACTCCACACACGGGTGTAACCTGCTACAATAACAGGGTTGGAAAATATTTGTTTTTTTCCTGCAGCAATGACCCCGTCCTGGTGTCTCTTGACTGGCGTGTTGGATCAGGTGCCCATCCTGTGCCGGATTCCTGACATACCTGAGGCCTTAGCCTGGCCAGCTGGCAGCTCCGCCATGACTGTGGACTTGCCTGGGCCGTCCCTCCAACCTGTCTGGGCAGTCCTGGTATCACACCCCCTGGGTGCCAGCAATGCGGGTTGGTAGTGATTGGCAGGTTCATTGTGATTGGAGGGTGGTTGTTGTGATTGATGGGGTTGGTTGTGATTGGAGGGTTGGTTGTGATTGGCAGGTTGGTTGTGATTGGGGGGTTGGTTGTGATTGGCGGGTTGGTTGCTATTGGCGGGGGTTGCGATTGGAGGGTTGGTTTGCGATTGGCGGGTTTTTTGCGATTGGCGGGTTGGTTGTGGGGGGGGTTGTGATTGGGGGGTTGGTTGTGATTGGAGGGTTGGTTGGGATTGGGGGGTTCATTGTGATTGGAGGGTTGTTTGTGATTGGGGGGTTGGTTGTGATTGGAGGGGGGTGTGTGATTGGAGGGTTGGTTGTGAATTGGGGGTTCATTGTGGGGGTGGGGGTTGGTTGGGATTGGGGGTTGGTTGTGATTGGCGGGTTCATTGTGATTGGAGGGTTGGTTGTGATTGGGGGTTGGGGTTGGGGCGGGGATTGGTGGGGGTTGGTTGTGATTGGGGGTTCATTGTGGGGGGGGGGGGTTGTGATTGGAGGGGGGGGGGGGTTGTGATTGGGGGGTTGGGGGGTGATTGGGGGTTGGTTGTGATTGGGGGGGGGGGGGGGGGGGGGGGGGGGGGGGGGTTGGTTGGGGGGGGTTGGGGGATTTGGGGGGGTTGGGGGTGGGGGGGGTGGTTGTGATTGGAGGTTGGTTGTGGGGTGATTGGGGGGGGGGGGATTGGGGGTTGTTGGAGGGTTGGGATTGGGTTGGTTGTGATTGGCGGGTTCATTGTGATTGGAGGGTTGGTTGTGATTGGGCGTTGTCACCCTATAACAGGAAGTACCTGAGCAGTGCATTTATTGCAGGATCACCATGGATTATTTTAATGATCACCGGGATCAGTGTATGTGAAAATGGCTGCTGGTAATGTCCATTGGAAACTCGGGTGACACCACAGGAGAACAGTTGGGGGCCAGACACAGAGCATTGTCACCCTATAACAGGAAGTACCTGAGCAGTGCCCTTTATGACAGGATCACCTTGGATTATTTTAATGATCTCCGGGATCAGTGTATGTGAAAATGACTGCTGGTAATGTCCATTGGAAACTCGGGTGACACCACAGGAGAAAAATTGGGGGTCAGGAACAGAGCGTTGTCACCCTATAACAGGAAGTACCTGAAGAGTGCCCTTTATGACAGGATCACCTTGGATTAATTTAATGATCATCGGGAATCAGTGTATATGAAAATGGCTGCTGGTAGTGTCCATTGGAAACTCAGGTGACACCACAGGAGAACAATTGGGGTACAGGGATAGAGCGTTGTCACCTTGTAACTGGAAGTCTCTGAGCAAGGACCTTCATGGCAGGATCGCTATGGATTAGAACAAAGATCACCAGGGATGTATTCATGTTGAAATGTCTGCTGGTAGCTTGTGTGACAGGGTGACTACACAGGAGAACAATTGGGGGACAGGGACAGAGTGTTGTCACCCTATAACAGGAAGTAGTTGAGCATGGACCTTCAGGACAGAAATGATTTGAAGGATTACATGAGATCACATGAAAACACCTTATTCTCCAGAGGACCTAAACTTCCGCCTTCTGATGTATGACATCACCGTCCTGCGCTGACATGTGCTGCACTGTGCTGAGGGAATGTCAACTGTTGTACTTCATTTCAGTGCATTGCAACACAGAGCAATGGAGGGGATCGTCCTGTAATGATCGATCTGGGGACACGATCCCTTTATTAGTAGGTCTGGGGGAGGGGTCTCTTTATTAGTAGATCTGGGGGAGGGGTCTCTTTATTAGTAGATCTGGGGGAGGGGTCTCTTTATTAGTAGATCTGGGGGTGTGGTCTCTTTATTAGTAGATCTGGGGGAGGGGTCTCTTTATTAGTAGATCTGGGGGAGGGGTCTCTTTATTAGTAGATCTGGGGGATGGGTCTCTTTATTAGTGGATTTGGGGGAGGGGTCTCTTTATTAGTAGGTCTGGGGGAGGGGTCTCTATATTAGTAGATCTGATGACGGGGTCTCTCTAATGGTAGATCTGGGGGAGGGTCTCTTTATTAGTAGATCTGGGGGTGGGTCTCTTTATTAGTAGATCTGGGGGAGGGGTCTCTTTATTAGTGGATTTGGGGTGGGGTCTCTTTATTAGTAGGTCTGGGGGAGGGGTCTCTATATTAGTAGATCTGATGGCGGGGTCTCTCTAATGGTAGATCTGGGGGAGGGGTCTCTTTATTAGTATATCTGGGGGAGGGGTCTCTTTATTAGCAGATCTGGGGGTGTGGTCTCTTTATTAGTAGATCTGGGGGAGGGTCTCTTTATTAGTAGATCTGGGGGAGGGGTCTCTTTATTAGTGGATTTGGGGGTGGGGTCTCTTTATTAGTAGGTCTGGGGGAGGGGTCTCTATATTAGTAGATCTGAAGGCGGGGTCTCTCTAATGGTAGATCTGGGGAGGGGTCTCTTTATTACTAGATCTGGGGGAGGGGTCTCTTTATTAGTAGATCTGGGGGAGGGGTCTCTTTATTAGTAGATCTGGGGGAGGGATCTCTTTATTAGTAGATCTGGGGCGGGGTCTCTTTATTAGTAGATCTGGGGGAGGGATCTCTTTATTAGTAGATCTGGGGGCGGGGTCTATTTATTAGTAGCTCTGGAGGCAGTGTCTCATTATTAGATTTGGGGGCGTGGTCTCATTATTAGTAGATCTGGGGGCGGGGTCTTTCTAATGGTAGATCAGGGACGGGGGTCTCATTATTAGTAGATCTGAAGGTGGGGTCTCATTATTATATCTGGGGGCGGGAGCTCATTATATCTGGGGCGGGGTCTCTTTAATATAGATCTAGGGGCGGGGTCTCTTTCATTTACTATCTGGGGCGCGGGTCGCTTTCAGTTACTATCTGGGGGCGGGGTCGGTTTCAGTTTCTATCTGGGGGGGGGGGGGGGGGGGGGGGGGGGGGGGGCTGTGGCAGGACGAGAGATCTCAGCTTCTTCTCACATACTAAACAGATAAGGACTGCAGTAAGCACACGTGACCTCGTCCAGTCCCCTTCACTCCATTGGCCGGCGCTCTCTCTGACACAGATCAATGAAGATGCCGCATTCACCATGCTGTCTAAGTCCCGCCCTCTACCTTCCTCTTTCGCTAACGTCACACCCTCGATCACTTTGGAGACCCGCCCCTCACGTCCTACTCCCCACGAGGAGGGGCGGGGACGTAAAGCGAGGTCCTGGTCACATGCTCTGTACGTCATCACCTTGCGGCCACAACACAGAGAGGCGCAGACTGGGCGACTGAAATGAAGTAAGTGACCCCATAAATCTGCTAAATGTGTGACTGTGTCCGGGGGGGGGGGGGGTCACCCAGAGAAGTGAGCACCGGGCTCCTCTGTGTACAACAGAGAACCGGTCATGGCTGCTGGGAGATGAATGTTCACTTGACCTGAGTCTGTCTCCTCAGCCTGGATACATTGTGGAGGCCATCTGAGCTGTCTGCTGTGCTGCCCTACCAGCTGCTTAACTACATTCTATCTTCCGGCCCCTGAGTACGCGCCGCCTCCCCATCCCTACCCCTGAGTACGCGCCGCCTCCCCATCCCTACCCCTGAGTACGCGCACCGCGCTCCGTCTCCCCGCCACTGAGTACGCACCGCCTCCGTCTCCCCACCCTGAGTACGCACCGCGCATCCCTGAGTACGCGCCGTCTCCCCGCCCCTGAGTACGCACCGCGCTCCGTCTCCCCCGCCCCTGAGTACGCGCCATCCTCCCCCCTCCCCTGAGTACCGCCCCTGAGTACGCGCGCTCCGTCTCCCCCCCCCTGAGTACGCCGCGCTCCCCCCACCCCTGAGTACGCACCGCGCTCCGTCTCCCCGCCCCTGAGTGCGCGTACGCCGCCCCCCCACCCCTGAGTACGCGCCGCGCTGCCGTCTCCCCGCCCCTGAGTACGCGCCGCGCCGCGTCTCCCCCGCCCCTGAGTACGCGCCGCGCTCCGTCTCCCCCCCCTGAGTACGCGCCGCCGCTCCGTCCTCCCCGCCCCTGAGTACGCGCCGCGCTCCCGTCTCCCCGCCCCTGAGTACGCGCCGCGCTCCGCCTCCCCACCCCTGAGTACGCACCGCGCTCCGTCTCCCCATCCCTGAGTACGCGCCGCGCCGCGCTCCGTCTCCCCGCCCCTGAGTACGCGCCGCGCTCCGTCTCCCCGCCCCTGAGTACGCGCCGCGCTCCGTCTCCCCGCCCCTGAGTTCGCGCCGCGCTCCGCCTCCCCGCCCCTGAGTACGCCGCCGCCTCCCCGCCCCTGAGTACGCTCCGCCTCCCCGCCCCTGAGTACGCTCCGCCTCCCCGCCCCTGAGTACGCGCCAGCTCCGCCTCCCCCGCCCCTGAGTACGCTCCGCCTCCCCGCCCCTGAGTACGCACCGCCTCCCCGCCCCTGAGTACGCGCAGCGCTCCGCTCCTCCCCGCCCCTGAGTACGCGCCCGCGCACGCGCCGCCTCTCCCCGCCCCTGAGTACGCCGTCTCTCCCCGCCGCGCACCGCCTCTCCCCGCCCCTGAGTACGCGCCGCGCTTCATCTCCCCGCCCCTGAGTACACACCGCGCTCCGCCTCCCCGCCCCTGAGTACGCGCTCCGCCTCCCCGCCCCTGAGTACGCGCTCGCCCCCCTCCCCCCCCTGAGTACGCGCTCGCGCTCCTCTCCCCGCACCTGAGTACGCGCCGCGCTCCGTCTCCCCGCCCCTGAGTACGCACCGCGCATCCGCCTCCCCGCCCCTGAGTACATGGCCAGCTTCTCATCTCCCCACCCCTGAGTACATGGCCAGCTATTCCTCTCCCTACCGCCGGCTTTCAGTGGCTGCAGGAGGAAAATGTTTATTATGCTATTCCAAAATACAAAAGTGAAATTCTGAACCATTTCATAGCTCTGTCTCCCAGCTCCTGAGTACACTTTACACTCGGTCTCCCATCTATAGTGACTGTGTTCATTAACCCCTCGTCTCCCAATTTTTTAGTCCATTAACAAAAGTGAAGCTGATTAATGAACTGAATGATCGGGAGGCTCGGCTCGGTGTGAAGGATTCCGTGTCATGGCATCAAGACTACAGAGACAGCGCCTGGATATTCATGGGTGAGTCACGGGACAGACGATGCATGTGTCAGCGTTTATGTCCGGGATAAATGTTTAACAACCCCTGTCAGGCTTTTACTGCTATTTGCGGCTCTGCTAGAGAGATCTCCCCTCACTTCCTCCCGCCCTACTGACAGCAGTGTCCCCAGACAGAAAGTGAGTTGAAATCTGCAAGAGGGACACAGAAATAAAAAGCTAATAGAAATCTAACCTTCCATCACTCTAAGAATAAAATGAATAAATATAAACTATATATATATATATATATATATCCCGCAGTATTGGGCCGCCGGCCTTTCCACACACATGACCTTTAATGGCCCCCCAGTCTTAGTCCGTAGGGTTCAATATTGAGTTGGCCCCGCCCTTTGCAGCTATAACAGCTTCAACTCTTCTGGGAAGGCCGTCCACAAGGTTTAGGAGGGTGTCTATGGGAAGGTTGGACCATTCTTCCAGAAGCACATTTGTGAGGTCAGGCACTGATGTCGGGGGAGGAGGCCTGGCTTGCAGTCTCCGCTCTAATTCATCCCAAAGGTGTTCTATGGGGTTGAGGTCAGGACTCTGTGCAGGCCAGGCAAGTTCCTCCACCCCAAACTGGCTCCTCCATGTCTTTATGGACCTTGCTTTGTGCACTGGTGGGCAGTCATGTTGCAACAGGAAGGGGCCATCCCCAAACTCTCCCCACAAAGTTGGGAGCATGAAATTGTCTAAAATGTCGCCTTAAGAGTTCCCTTCACTGGAACTAGGGGGCCAAGCCCAACCCCTGCAAAAACAACGCCACACCATAATCCCCCCTCCACCAAACTTTACACTTGGCACAATGCAGTCAGGCAAGTACCGTTCTCCTGGCAACCACCAAACCCAGACATGTCCATCGGATTGCCAGACAGAGAAGCGTGATTGGTCACTCCAGAGAGCAGGGCTCCCCTGCTCTAGAGTCCAGTGGCGGCGTGCTTTACACCACGGCATCCGACACTTTGCATTGCACTTGGTGATGTAAGGCTTTGATGCAGCTGCTCGGCCATGGAAACCCATTCTGGAGCTCTCTACACACTGTTGTTGGGCTCATCTGAAGGCCACACCAAGTTTGGAGCTATTGACTCTGCAGACAGTTGGTGACTTCTGCGCACTGTGCGCTTCAGCATGCGCTGACCCCGCCTGTCATGTGACATGGCCTACCACTTGGTGGCTGAGTTGCTGTTGTTCCCAGTTGCTTCCACTTTGTTATAATCCCACTAACAGTTGAGCGTGGAATATTTAGTAGCCAGGAAATGTCACGGATGGACTTATTGCCAGGTGACCACCTATCACGGGACCACGCTTGGAGTCACTGAGCTCCTGAGAGCGACCCATTCTTTCACCAATGTTTGTAGAAGCAGTCTGCATGCCTAGGGGCTTGATTGTATACCACCTGTGTCCATGGAGGGGGTTGGAACACCCTAATCTAACAATGATTTGGAGGGCGGGGCCAAACAACCTGTATATATTTATTTATTCCTCTCTGGGGAAACCATTGTAACTGGGACAGGAAGTGACAAAATCTACAACAGGGGATAGATAAATAAACCACTGATGGAGTTCTAGCCTTTCATTAATCTATTCCTGTCTGGAGAAACCTATTGTAACTGGAAGCAGTGTGAGGTCTCATTCATACTTGCGGTTTGTAGGGCGGAAATAAAACCCCTGGTTTTCCTGCCGCTCAATCCCTCCCTCCTGCAGAGGCAGCATACAGTGCCGTACACATGCCACGGCTGCGATACTTGCTGTCTGTTCCGAAACTTGAGCTCCCAGATGCTTTTTTTTTTTTTTTTTTTCTTCTTTAACCCCTCTCTGTGATCACATGGTGAATATCCTTTCATAGGGAATGAGCAGAAGGAAGAAGAGACCCTGTCCCTGCCATCAGGGCAAAGTGGTATAGTCTGTATAAATCCCCCCGACCTCCGATCACCTTATTTTCACCTTCCCTGCTGTCCTCCCCCACTGCTTGACACCTCTTTCACACCCTTCTGTATTAACCCCTGCCCAGAAAAATGTGTTTGAACGAATAAATTAAAGGACTAAAATAAATGGGGAAAAAAAAAGCGTTGGTCTGATACAGCTTAGAGGGAACAGTGAGGTTATATGACGGTGATCAAGCATGCATTTTGGATATCTTCCCCCCCGAGCTGTCCCCCCCCAATACCCAGAGGAGAGTCCGAACAAAACATTCCAGCCTGGCAGGGCATCCTTGCTCTGAGTAACATAGAAACCGACGCCATCTTGGGTCATGGAACCTGCAGCTACAGTGCCCCGTTTTTGTTTTTTAATCAAACTTCATCATACTGATAGAGAGGTGGCAAAATTCTAATCAGAGTCATCAGCAGAGCTCTGAGGAAAGCATCCTGAATAGTTGCACATCCATGCCCTCAGATGACCCATGTAGAAGGGGCAGAGGAGGAGTGCTATCAAAGGGGGTATAAGTGCCAGTCAGGGCCTCTTTAACCGCCTCCCGCCTGCCATTTAAGGAAATGACGGGCGCAAGGCGGTTTTCTCGTTCTGGGAGGACGTTATATGACATCCTCCCACTCTAGCCATGCACGCATGACTCCAGGTGCGCGCAGCGCAACGATTGGTGATGCGCTGTGTCCAAGGGATCACTGATCAATGGAAAGAGCTGAAGATGTTGGCTCGGTCATGTGATCAGCTGTGTCCAATGCAGCGGATCTCGTGTAAATAAGGAAATGCCGGTTATCTGCATTTCTCTCCTCTCGAGCTGTCATGCTGACAGAGGAGAGGAGAGCCGGTAATCGGCTTTCCGCTGAGGGGACATGTACACTGATCATCAGAGCACTGATGATCAGTGTAGCCCCAGCAGTGCCAGCTGTCAGTGCCCATCAATGCCAGCTGTCAGTGCTCATCAATGCCACCTCAATGCCCATCAGTGTTATCAGTGCCTACCAGTGCCATCAGTATTCCACATATCAGTACCCATCAGTGACCTGCCTTTCAAGTGCCACCTATCAGTGCCCGCCTAACAGTGTGCCAGTCAGTATCTATACAGCCTGCCTTTCAGTGCCCATCAGTGATGCCTGTCAATGTCCATCAGTGCCCATAAGTGCAGCCTATCAGTAGCCCACCACTGCAGCCTCATTAGCGCACATCAGTGAAGGAGAAAAATCACTTATTTACAAAATTTTATAACAAAAATTAAGAAAAAAAACTTTTTTTTTTCAAAAATTTCAGTTCTTTTTGGTTTGGTGAAAAAATAAAAACCCGAGGTGATTAAATACCACCAAAATAAAGCTCTATCTGTCACAAAAAATGATAAAAATTTCATATGGGTACAGTGTTGCATGACCGCGCAATTGTCATTCAAAGTGTGACAGCGCTGAAAGCTGAAAACTGGCCTGGGCAGGAAGGGGGTATAAGTGTTCCGGACTGGAAATGGTTAAACCTTTTACTTCCAGGGCTGCTTTTGCATTTTTAGCACATGTTTCACCCCTTGACGCCGAAGGGGGTATAAGTGCCTGGTAGGCGAGGGGTTAAAGTGGTAGTAAACTGTTTTTTGTTTTTTTTTTTACTTGTACCTACAGGTAAGACATGGCTTCACATAATGTGCCATGTATACTAGCACATTATAGCATTGCCTTGGCGAGGAAAAGTTCTTTTTTTTTTTTTTTTTCTTTTCTAATTACAAGGTTTAGTACCACTTCAATGTAGTTCTAAGAAGTGATGTTTGTCCTTTTTTTTTTATAAAGCTGTCAGTTTTATATTTTGTTTTTTTTTTTCCTGTAGGAGGGCTGCCTTATGAGTTGACTGAAGGGGACATTATTTGTGTCTTTTCACAGTAAGTTTTATTCCTCTGGCCGCTACATTGTTTTTCTGTATTTCTACAATATAGTAAATTACCTGGGACTTCCTCAAAAGTAGTACTTATTGCCAAATTCTGATCTTTGCTTCATCGTCATCCAGAAATTAGTTTATAACCAAAAATTATAATTTTTAAACTTTTTTTTCTACATTTTTATTTTTTTTTATATTATTATTTGTTTTTTTGTTTTTTTACATACTGTCACCCTAGCAGTACAGTGTCACCATGGTGACACTGTACTACTTGTGGGGGGTGATAAAGATTTTTTTTTTTTTTTTACACTGATTGCTTTTACACCCATAAAGGCTGTAAAAGCAATCATTTCTCCTCTCTGGCTACATTCCTGCAGCCATTGAGAAATACTGAGTGAGCTGTGATTGGTCACAGCTTGTCACATGGTACAAGGTTGTTGTGAATGGACCTGTACCATGTGACCTCTCATTCACAGATTTCACACGTAGTAAGCAATGATGTCAGTAGTGACATCTTGCTTACTACTCTGCATGTGATCACTGATTGGCCAATCAGTGATCACGTGATCGGGACCTCGCACAGAGGTCCTGTACGACCGGAGGAGTGTCCGGAGGAGACAGCGGGCACCGGATCGCGGTGCTGCACACTCCCAGGGAGCGCGCACAAGCAGGGGGCGGGGAGGCCTTTTATAAATGGCCACCCGCCCCTGCACTGCCACCGTCCGGCCGTTTTTATACAATGGCCGGACGGGAGGTGGTTAATGTTTCCGCTGTCAGCGGGGTTCCCCACTGACAGCTGAATGTAAAAACAATTTCCGGCAATTAAAACATTTAAAAAAAAAATTGCATGGGGTTCCCCCCCATACGTACCAAGCCCTTTGGATCTGGTATGGATTTTGAGGGGAACCCCCGTGCCAAAACGTTTTAAAAAAAAATGGAGTTGAGGTCTCCCCCCAAAACCTTTACCAGACCCTTATTCGAGCATGCAGCCTGGCAGGTCCGGAAAGGGGTTGGGATCAATACCCAGCCACATCCCCTCAACATTGGTGGTGTTTTGGGCCCCCCCCCCCCCCCCAAAGCATCCTGTCCCCATGTTGATGGGGACAGGGGCCTTTTCCCTACAACCATGGCTGGCGGTTGTGGGGGATCTGCGGGTTGGGCTTATCGGAATCTGGAAGCCCCCTTTAACAAGGGGCCCCCTGGATCCTGCACCCCATGTGAATGAGTATGGGGTACATGGTACCACTACTCATTCACAAGAAAAAAAAGTGCAGTGTAAAAAATGACAGGAGACAGTCTTTGACAAGTCCTTTATTAAAAACAAAACGACAAAAAGCCACCCCGAAATAGATCCAACATCAATCACGATGTCCTCCACCAATGCCGGCCCCAAAAAAAAAACGCTTCACTCTCAACGCTGGCTCTCAGCCGTCTGATAGCTGCACCGGCCTGACAGTTCTTAAATATTATCCTGACCTGTGGTCAGGTGCATTGCTTTGGCCAACCACAATGCACTGTCAGGGCACAGTGCATTCTGGGGCGCGGCAGGCGAACATCCCGCCAAAAGCCCTTACCATTCGTGTGCTTGCCAAACACACAAACGGCCCGGTGTTCGAGTCGAACTTACGCTCACCTCGAACATCAAGCCCAACATTAGTCTTTTAACCACCTCCCGTCCAGCCGTTGTAAATAAACGGCCGGACGGTGGCAGTGCAGGGTCGGGTGGCCGTTTATAAACGGCCTCCCCACACCCTGCTTGTGCGTGCTCCCTGGGGGCGCGCAGCACCGTGACCCGGTGCCCGCTGTGTCCTCCGGACACAGTGGAACACCGATCGTCGGACGGGGACCTCTGTACGAGGTCCCGATCGTATGATCACTGATTGGCCAATCAGTGATCACATGCAGAGTAGTTAGCAAGATGTCACTTCTGATTCATAAGGGGAAGATTGCCCACAGAGGAGCAAGTTATGTGTTACCCCCACTAATAGGGGAGATGTTTTTCTGACCTGTGTCCACATACAGGTCCATGTGAGAAGGTGAGGGTCCACCTGGACTTCTATGTTCACTGTGGTGATTCACGTACATTGAGGACTTGCAGCCCTGGGATTCTGGGTGCAGTCACCAGTAGATGTCCCACTCTTTTTTTGAAATTCTAAAGAATTCGTTTTTTCATCTTTTTTTTTTTTTTTTTTTTTTGTGGACCCTAGTCACGTTTGAGTTTGTCTTGAGCTTTGTTTTTACTAATATTGTTTGTTGATAGCAGCGCGACACATTTTTATTTCATTGATTTAGTTTTTTTATGAGAACACACATAACACGTGTGTGCAGCCGCTCATTATTCAGCACATTGGCAGAGCACAATTCCTTTTTTTTTTTTTTTTTTTTTTTTATCAGTTCCAATTTTCTGTCACACAATATTAGTGGAAAGGTTTCCGAAAAGCAAAATTTCTGTAAAAAATGTCTTAAAAAAGTTAAATTAGGACGCATAAACACAATGGGGTTAGTTTACATAAAAAAAAAAATAGGGCTGTTTCATCGCTCTGCTAACTTTTTTTTTTTTTTTCTTTGTAGATATGGTGAAGTGGTGAATATTAACTTGGTGCGTGACAAGCAGTCTGGGCGCTCTCGCGGATTCTGCTTTCTGTGTTATGAGGATCAGAGAAGTACAGTGCTGGCTGTAGATAATCTGAACGGTATCAAGGTGAGACACTGACATCTGACTAATGGCGGTAGAAGGAAGTGGGGAAAAAATGCGGAAGGCTTTCTTGGTCACTGCATATTAGGCCCCATGTACACGGGACACTTCTAAACGATGGAAGTGAGTGCTTGAAAAGGTAGGCTAAAAAAAAGTCTGTTTAGCCGCGTTTATGCGCATTTGTGTTTAAAAGCGTTTGTTAAAGATAAGCACAGGAGAACCTCCCAAATGCCCAAAATGCACTGAAAAGTGGTAAATTATTAACTATTTCAGACTGTTTCAGGGGAATACAGAGAGTAGAAGCAGAGACAGCAGTATGTGTTGAGATTAGCTTAGGTGTGAGTTGCTCATTAACATTACTTTTGTTTCCAAGGGTGGGAAAGGTGTCTGGTGGAGGGAGTCATTAAGGCCACCTGGCAGGGGGTCTTCATGAGGAATTTGAGGTGTGAATGGTCATTAACATGTCTTTTGTTTCCAAGGGTGGGGGAGGTCTGAGGTGTGAATGGTCATTAACAAATCTTTTGTTTCCAATACTGGGAGAGGTCTGAGGTGTGAATGGTCATTAACAAATCTTTTGTTTCCAGGGTGGGAGAGGTCTGAGGTGTGAATGGTCATTAACATATCTTTTGTTTCCAAGGGTCGGAGAGGTCTGAGAAGTGAATTGGTCATTAACATATCTTTTGTTTCCAAGGGCAGGAGAGGTCTGAGGAATGAATTGGTCATTTAACATATCTTTTTTTTCCAAGGGTGGGAGAGGTCTGAGGTGTGAACGGTCATTAACATATCTTTTGTTTCCAAGGGTGGGAGAGGTCTGAGGTGTGAATGGTCATTAACATATCTTTTGTTTCCAAGGGTGGGATAGGTCTGAGGAGTGAATTGGTCATTAACATATATTTTGTTTCCAAGGGTGGGGGAGGTCTGAGGTGTGAATGGTCATTAACATGTCTTTTGTTTCCAAGGGTGGGGGAGGTCTGAGGTGTGAATGGTCATTAACAAATCTTTTGTTTCCAATACTGGAGAGGTCTGAGGTGTGAATGGTCATTAACAAATCTTTTGTTTCCAAGGGTGGGAGAGGTCTGAGGTGTGAATGGTCATTAACATATCTTTTGTTTCCAAGAGGTCGGAGAGGTCTGAGAAGGTGAATTGGTCATTAACATATCTTTTGTTTCCAAGGGCAGGAGAGGTCTGAGGAGTGAATTGGTCATTAACATATCTTTTTTTTCCAAGGGTGGGAGGTGTGGAGAGGTCTGAGGTGTGAACGGTCATTAACATATCTTTTGTTTCCAAGGGTGGGAGAGGTCTGAGGTGTGAATGGTCATTAACATATCTTTTGTTTCCAAGGGTGGGATAGGTCTGAGGAGTGAATTGGTCATTAACATATCTTTTGTTTCCAAGGGTGGGGGAGGTCTGAGTGTGTGAATGGTCATTAACATATCTTTTGTTTCCAAGGGTGAGAGAGGTTTGAGGTGTGAATGGTCATTAACATATCTTTTGTTTCCAAGGGTGAGGAGAGGTCTAAGGTGTGAATGGTCATTAACATATCTTTTGTTTCCAAGGGTGGGAGAGGTCTGAGGTGTGAATGGTCATTAACATATCTTTTGTTTCCAAGGGTGGGAGAGGTCTGAGGTGTGAATGGTCATTAACATATCTTTTGTTTCCAAGGGTGAAGAGGTCTGAGGTGTGAATGGTCATTAACATATCTTTTGTTTCCAAGGGTGAGAGAGGTCTGAGGTGTGAATGGTTATTAACATATCTTTTGTTTCCAAGGGGTGAGAGAGGTCTGAGGTGTGAATGGTCATTAACATATCTTTTGCTTCCAAGGGCGGGAGAGGTGTGAATTGGTCATTACAATGTGTGACCAGCTTGATAGGAACATCCTGTGTTCAGTGTTTTGTCCATTTGAGTACCTTGAAACCGCTTTGTAGGCATTTTTCATGATGAAAAAAGGCTCTGGACAGCATCGAGAACTGGAAGAGTTAAAAAAAAAAAATTTCAACCGCTTATGAACGCGCTTTGCCGTGTTAAGCCACATTTACAAGCGCTTTGCGTTTGAAACGCTGATAGAATCGACTGCTGAACGCAAGTTTTCTGGGTTCAAAAAAAAGGACTGTAGCCTGTAAAGGACTGTGAATGACGATGTGTACATGGACACATAGGAAAACATTAGGGAGAGTTCAGGGGCTGCTGAGAAAAACCGCTGAACTTGAGTTTATCAACTGACAGTGGCAACTTATCAAACCTGCATGAGCAAATTCCTAACAGGTCACAATATACAGCAATAGTATCCTATTTTTGGAAATGTTTCACCTTTTTATCATTAAGGCCCCATGTACACTGCAGCTGCTAAACTGACATTCAGGAGCTTTTCTGCGTTTTTTTTTTTTATTTCGGCAGCCCCTGAACTCTCCCTAATGTTTTCCTTGCTATGCGCCCGTGTACACATCTTCGTTTACAGGCAGTTGAGTTTACAGTCGTTTTTTTTTTAACGCACCTCGCGCTCAGGAGTAGATTTTGCCGGCATTTCAAACGCAGTGAACCGCGTTTATAAGCATTTGCGTTTAGAAGCGTTTTTTTTTTTTTTTAACTGTTCCATGTCCAGATGCTGTCCGGAGCCTTTTTTCATCATCAGAGATGCATGCAAAGTGTTTTCCATGTATTCAAATGGACCCGCCACACCAGCGCAGTAAGTTCCAGGTTTCACGTGAAGGAAAAAATGGTAGAACGCGCCGCATTATGCTCATGATGGGATCCATAGTGCATACAACCAGAAAAGACAGGTCATCTCAACACATACTGCTCTCTCTGCTCCTCTCAAAATGTCTGAAATAGTTAAATATTTACTATTTTTTCAGTGCATTCTGGGCATTTGGGAAGGTCTCCTGAGGTTATCTTTTAAAAATGCTTCTAAACGCAAACGCGCATAATGCCACTAAACTGACGTTTTTTAACCTGCGTTTTCCAGCAGTCAGTTTCCATCGTTCTGAAGAGTTTCCCAAACGCCCCGTGTACATGAGCCCTAAGAATACATCCTTGAGCTCGAGTCAGACTTTGCATGGGCTGAGATGATGTCATCGGTCTGATGAAGAGAGGAGGAAGCATTTCTTTCGTCTTCTCTTTCCTTGTAATCAGACTGTACTTTGTACCAAATTACAAAGGTGCAGAGGGGGTGATCTGTGTCAGACATTTGTGAACACCAAGAACTACCCAGGCTCCAGGATTTACATGATCGTGCCCCATATGCCCCATATAGGGTCTGGGATTATAAATCCCATTTCAGTTTTTGCAGATGACACCAAGCTGTGCCGTGGAATAACGTCCTTACAGGATGTCTCCAACTTACAAGCCGACCTCAATGCTCTGTGTAATTGGGGGACTATGGGGCCAATGAGGGTTAATGTTGATAAATGTAAGGTTCTGCACTTGGGGGCTAAGAATACGCATGCATCATACATACTAGGGGGGGTACAACTGGAAGAATCAATGGTGGAGAAGGATTTGGGGGGTCAATGGTGGAGAAGGATTTGGGGGGTCAATGGTGGAGAAGGAAATGGGGGAATCAATGATGGAGAAGGATCTGGGGGTTCTGGTAGATCACAACTTAATAATGGCAAGCAATGCCAAGCTGCGGGTTCTAAAGGTATAGATTCCAGAGAGAGAGATATCATCCCCCCCCCCCCCCCCCCGGGTACAAATCATTAGTAATACTTCATCTGGAATATGCAGTTTAGTTTTGCGGCACCAATTCACAAAAAGAACATTGGGGAACTGGAGAAAGTACAGAGAAGGGCAACCAAACTGATAGAGGCATGGAGGAGCTCAGCTATGAGGAAAGATTAGAGGAACTGAATTTATTCTCTACTGAGAAGAGGAGATTAAGGGGGGATATGATCTCCATGTATAATACATAAGGGGGGATATGATCTCCATGTATAATATAAGGGGGATATGATCACCATGTATAATACATAAGGGGGGGATATGATCACCATGTATAATACATAAGGGGGGATATGATCACCATGTATAATACATAAGGGGGGATATGATCTCCATGTATAATACATAAGGGGGGATATGATCTCCATGTATAATACATAAGGGGGGATATGATCTCCATGTATAATACATAAGGGGGGATATGATCTCCATGTATAATACATAAGGGGGGATATGATCTCCATGTATAATACATAAGGGGGGATATGATCTCCATGTATAATACATAAGGGGGGATATGATCTCCATGTATAATACATAAGGGGGGATATGATCTCCATGTATAATACATAAGGGGGGATATGATCTCCATGTATAATACATAAGGGGGGATATGATCTCCATGTATAATACATAAGGGGGGATATGATCTCCATGTATAATACATAAGGGGGATATGATCTCCATGTATAATACATAAGGGGGGGATGATCTCCATGTATAATACATAAGGGGGGATATGATCTCCATGTATAATACATAAGGGGGGATATGATCTCCATGTATAATACATAAGGGGGGATATGATCTCCATGTATAATACATAAGGGGGGATATGATCTCCATGTATAATACATAAGGGGGGATATGATCTCCATGTATAATACATAAGGGGGGATATGATCTCCATGTATAATACATAAAGGGGATATGATCTCCATGTATAATACATAAGGGGGGATATGATCTCCATGTATAATACATAAGGGGGGGATATGATCTCCATGTATAATACATAAGGGGGGATATGATCTCCATGTATAATACATAAGGGGGGATATGATCTCCATGTATAATACATAAGGGGGGATATGATCTCCATGTATAATACATAAGGGGGGATATGATCTCCATGTATAATACATAAGGGGGGATATGATCACCATGTATAATACATAAGGGGGGGGGATATGATCTCCATGTATAATACATAAGGGGGGGGATATGATCTCCATGTATAATACATAAGGGGGGATATGATCTCCATGTATAATACATAAGGGGGATATGATCTCCATGTATAATACATAAGGGGGGGATATGATCTCCATGTATAATACATAAGGGGGATATGATCTCCATGTATAATACATAAGGGGGGATATGATCTCCATGTATAATACATAAGGGGGGATATGATCTCCATGTATAATACATAAGGGGGGATATGATCACCATGTATAATACATAAGGGGGGATATGATCTCCATGTATAATACATAAGGGGGGATATGATCTCCATGTATAATACATAAGGGGGGATATGATCTCCATGTATAATACATAAGGGGGGGATATGATCTCCATGTATAATACATAAGGGGGGATATGATCTCCATGTATAATACATAAGGGGGGGATATGATCTCCATGTATAATACATAAGGGGGGATATGATCACCATGTATAATACATAAGGGGGGATATGATCTCCATGTATAATACATAAGGGGGGATATGATCTCCATGTGTATAATACATAAGGGGGGATATGATCTCCATGTATAATACATAAGGGGGGATATGATCTCCATGTATAATACATAAGGGGGGGATATGATCTCCATGTATAATACATAAGGGGGATATGATCTCCATGTATAATACATAAGGGGGGATATATGATCTCCATGTATAATACATAAGGGGGGATATGATCTCCATGTATAATACATAAGGGGGGGATATATGATCTCCATGTATAATACATAAGGGGGATATGATCTCCATGTATAATACATAAGGGGGGATATGATCTCCATGTATAATACATAAGGGGGGATATGATCTCCATGTATAATACACATAGGGGGGATATGATCTCCATGTATAATACATAAAGGGGGATATGATCTCCATGTATAATACATAAGGGGGGATATGATCTCCATGTATAATACATAAGGGGGGGGGATATGATCTCCATGTATAATACATAAGGGGGGATATGATCTCCATGTATAATACATAAGGGGGGGATATGATCTCCATGTATAATACATAAGGGGGGATATGATCTCCATGTATAATACATAGGGGGGATATGATCTCCATGTATAATACATAAGGGGGGGATATGATCTCCATGTATAATACATAAAGGGGGATATGATCTCCATGTATAATACATAAGGGGGGATATGATCTCCATGTATAATACATAAGGGGGGATATGATCTCCATGTATAATACATAAGGGGGGGATATGATCTCCATGTATAATACATAAGGGGGGATATGATCTCCATGTATAATACATAAGGGGGATATGATCTCCATGTATAATACATAAGGGGGGATATGATCTCCATGTATAATACATAAGGGGGGGGATATGATCTCCATGTATAATAATAAGGGGGGATATGATCTCCATGTATAATACATATAAGGGGGGATATGATCTCCATGTATAATACATAAGGGGGGATATGATCTCCATGTATAATACATAAGGGGGGATATGATCTCCATGTATAATACATAAGGGGGGATATGATCTCCATGTATAATACATAAGGGGGATATGATCTCCATGTATAAATACATAAGGGGGATATGATCTCCATGTATAATACATAAGGGGGGGGGGATATGATCTCCCATGTATAATACATAAGGGGGGGATATGATCTCCATGTATAATACATAAGGGGGGGGGGGATATGATCTCCATGTATAATACATAAGGGGGGATATGATCTCCATGTATAATACATAAGGGGGGGATATGATCTCCATGTATAATACATAAGGGGGGGATAACATGGAAAGGTTTCTTCACAGTGAGAGCTGTGAAAATGTGAAACAGAAATTCCTCAAGAGTTGGTTGTGGCCAGCTCAGTGGATTGGTGTAGGAAAGTCCTGGATTATTTCTTAGATACACAGAATATAACTGGATACTAACATTTATAGGTAAAGTTGATCCAGGGAATATCCATTCGCCTTTTGGGGGATCAGGAAGGATTTTTTTCCCCTGCAGGAGCAAATTGGATCATGCTTTGCTGGGTTTTTTTTTGCCTTCCTCTGGATCAACTGTGGGTGTAGAATTATACATTTTTTTTTCTTTTCTTATGGTTGAACTGGATGCACTTTTGTCTTTTTCAGCCAGACTAACTATGTAACTATGTATCCTCTCTGAGCCAACATTTTGGTCCAAGAAGTAGATGGTGAAAAGACATGGCTCTGTCCTTCTGAAGAGAGAGTCAGATGAAGGCATTGTAAGGGGTGTACTGTGATCTCAGTATCTCTGAGGGGTAATAAAAAGTGTTCCGCTGACACAATACAATACAACTACAGCTTGTTTTACAAATACTATAGCTGCTAACTCGTACAAATTGGGTACTTACCAGCACCTGGGATCCCGCACTGTCTTTCCGTAGGCGGTTCTTCTTAGCGCTGCGGGCCCACCATCTTGGATATGAGAGCTAGTTGTGGCTTCTTGGTGAACCAGTCAACTCTCCATAGCAAGAATGGTCGAGGATGTGGGGTAAAGGAACTTATCCTCGTTGGATTGCAGAAGTGGGGAGCGGGTACCAGTAAAAATCGGACCCCCCCCAAAAAAAAAAACCCCATAAGGCCCTTTTCACGCGTGCTGTCCGTTTTTTTAAATGGACCCGATCGGACCCTCTAGTCTGCTGTATGGAGTGATGCATGTAAACAGACTTGTGCCTGTTTACACCTGCCTACCTCCAATCTGATCTGGCAAAAACAAACAGAAGGGTATCTGTGCCCCCCCCCCATCTGGCCAGATCGGATTGGAGGGCAGTCAGGTGTAAACGGAAAGCGGTCCGTTTACATCAGACTACCCATAGAGCAGAGCGGGCTGTGTCCATGTCTGCATGAGCGGAGTGATCAAGGACCTGTCATCCGGCCGCTCCGCTCAGCAGGGGATCAGTGGACAGATCCTCGCTGAGAAAAAAATGGATCCAGCCTTGGAAAAGGAGCTTAACCTCCCTAGCGGTCTGATTATGTCCCTATTTCTGTGCTCAAAGCGGTACATTTTTTTTGCATGGAAATATGTATTTTTTTTATTGTAGGATGTAATTTTTAGGTATAACTCACTGAAATCTGTCCGAACAAGAGTCTAGTAAACATCCCGGGGAGGATAAAACTTGAAACACGAAATCATAAATTATAATTTAATAAATAATCATAAAAAAATAATAATAAAATAAGAAATATAATGCAATAATAAAATCAAACCAAAAACACTGAAATTTGAAATAGAGCGCCAAGTTCGCACATCACTGAGCAAAGTCGCAGAATCGTTTTCAGTGTCTGATGAGGAATTTCCCCCACGAATCATTATCACTCAATTCTGCAAGTGGTTCTGATTTACTATCGCTGTTCTCTAGCCGGTCTAAAACCGCTTTTGACGTAAAGGGACGCTTTTTGGACGCCATGGACGTTTCTCAGTTTCCAGGCAGAAAGAACAGTAAAAATGCAGGCAGGGCGCCGGACAAAGCACTCGGGACAAAATGTATGTGAAATGGTTTGATACAGGAATGTTATACTATGTGATTTTAGTGAAAGTCGCTTTTTGTCATTTTCAAATTTCCCGCCGTTCCGTCCCCCGTATGTCCCGACGTCGCAGAGAACGGAACCTGGAAGATGGATGCCGGCATCCGCCGGAGGACATTGCTGGGGACACTGCAGGGGGGACATCGCGGGAGCGCAGGACAAGGTAAGTGAAGCAGAGATCCCAGATCAGCGCCGCAGTGTATTCCCGAGTGTAGCTCGGGGGTGTTACCGGTTGTGGTACTGAAACTTTACCCCGAGCTACACTCGGGAATGCCTCCAGGGATACTTTTTGAGTAAAGTTCCGCTTTAACTTGAGGGCAACAAAAAGAACTGATGCTAGGTCCATGTTAAGAGTAGGAATACCTGTTCTCGTCGATGTACACTGCTTTGGAGGACCAGGTTAGGTGTGACCACCTTCTGCGACGCGGTTCATTTCAATACATGATTTGCTTTCCGTATAGATGAGAGGACGCACCATTCGTGTTGACCATGTGTCCAATTACCGCCCCCCTAAAGATGCCGAAGATATTGATGAAGTGACCAAAACACTCCGAGAAAAAGGCTGCGGTATTGAAACTCCCTCTTTATCTTCAGAAGAAGAGCCAGAGGAACCACAAAAGATTAAGAAACGTAAGTGTTTTCTTCTGTAATCCAGCTGACATTTTTCTTTTTTTTTTTTCTCACGCAACTGTGCTCTTCTGACCTTTTAGGGGAAGGTCCTTTTCTGTTCCACCATGGCTGTGCCCCCATGTACAAAGTCAGCACCTTAAGGACATAGTTTTCAGAGTTTGGTGTGGAGGAACTCAATGGTCTAGTAAGAGCCCTGATCTCAACCCTATAGTGAGCCCGGGGCATCAATACCTGACCTCATAAATGAACTTTTTTGGCTGAATGGACACAAATTTACACAGACACACTCCACAGTCTTGTGGGAAGCCTTCCTGGAAGAGTGGGGGATGTTATATCTTCAAAGGGGTGGGGGCACTTCCCTATTGATTTTGGAATAGGAAGTCCCATATACACTATATTGCCAAAAGTATTGGTTGGCCGGCCTTTCCACGCACGTGACCTTTCATGGCCTCCCAGTCTTAGTCCGTAGGGTTCAATATTGAGTTGGCCCCGCCCTTTCCACACACATGACCTTTCATGGCCTCCCAGTCTTAGTCCGTAGGGTTCAATATTGGGGCCTTTCCACACACATGAACGGCCTCCCAGTCTTCCACACACATGAACTTTAATGGCCTCCCAGTCTTAGTCCGTAGGGTTCAATATTGAGTTGGCCCCGCCCTTTCCACACACATGACCTTTAATGGCCTCCCAGTCTTAGTCCGTAGGGTTCAATATTGAGTTGGCCCCGCCCTTTCCACACACATGACCTTTAATGGCCCCCCAGTCTTAGTCCGTAGGGTTCAATATTGAGTTGGCCCCGCCCTTTGCAGCTATAACAGCTTCAACTCTTCTGGGAAGGCCGTCCACAAGGTTTAGGAGGGTGTCTATGGGAAGGTTGGACCATTCTTCCAGAAGCACATTTGTCAGGTCAGGCACTGATGTCGGGGGAGGAGGCCTGGCTCGCAGTCTCTGCTCTAATGCATCCCAAAGGTGTTCTATGGGGTTGAGGTCAGGACTCTGTGCAGGCCAGTCAAGTTCCTCCACCCCAAACTGGCTCCTCTATGTCTTTATGGACCTTACTTTTGTGCACTGGTGGGCAGTCATGTTGGAACAGGAAGGGGCCATCCCCAAACTCTTCCCACAATGTTGGGAGCATGAAATTGTCCAAAATGTCGCCTTAAGAGTTCCCTTCACTGGAACTAGGGGGCCAAGCCCAACCCCTGAAAAACAACCCCACACCATAATCCCCCCTTCCACCAAACTTTACACTTGGCACACAGCAGTCAGGAAAGTCCTGGCAACCCCAAAACCCAGACACGTCCATGGGATTGCCAGACAGAGAAGCATGATTGGTCACTCCAGAGAAACACATCTTCCCTGCTCTAGAGTCCAGTGGCGGCGTGCTTTACACCCCTGCATCCGACGCTTTGCATTGCACTTGGTGATGGAAGGCTTGGATGCAGCTGCTCGGCCATGGAAACCCATTCCATGAAGCTCTCTACACACTGTTGTTGGGCTCATCTGAAGGCCACACCAAGTTTGGAGGTCTTTAGCTATTGACTCTGCAGACAGTTGGCGACTTCTGTGCGCTTCAGCATGCGCTGACCCCGCCCTGTCATGTGACGTGGCCTACCACTTGGTGGCTGAGTGGCTGTTGTTCCCAGTTGCTTCCACTTTGTTATAACCCCACTAACAGTTGAGCGTGGAATATTTAGTAGCCAGGAAATGTCACGGATGGACTTATTGCACAGGTGACCACCTATCACGGGACCACGCTTGGAGTCACTGAGCTCCTGAGAGCGACCCATTCTTTCACCAATGTTTGTAGAAGCAGTCTGCATGCCTAGGGGCTTGATTGTATACACCTGTGTCCATGGAGGGGATTGGACCTGATTTGGGGGCGGGGGACAATACTTTTGACAATCTAGTTTGTGTCACAAATTTTTGGGCATATGGTGTATATAAAAGGATCCGGCATAACCTTTTAAAAGATCTTTCTTTTATGTTCAATCTGTATTTATTGAGAAAAAGTGTTTAACAAAGGCAGTACGAAAATACCATAAAAAAAGGTATCGCATAAATGTCCAAAAACAAAAAATAAATTAAATTAAAATAGAAGATCCTTTTAAAAAGCACCCTCTCAATAAGGAGCTGTATCACTGTAGCAGCCCACAGCTGGAGAAATGATAGTGGATGCGTGTCCATTGAGATCTTTCTTTTATATCTGGATGAACAAACTGTATCATATTTAGAAGATGATGACTGTATCGGTGCAGACATGGACTGAAGGATTCAGTGGGAAGAACACCGCTTGTTTAGGACAGGCCCAAAATATTAGAAGCTTCTTCTCACAAGATACAGTATTCTGTGCTTTCCCAGCATCGTGCTGGAAGGATTATGATGTCAACCTTGCCTAGGTGTGTAAGGTCACCATATTTTGTTTAAGCTGGACTCCAGCTTTACGTTTTTTGTTTTTTCACACTTGTAGCAAGTCTTCTCCTGGGTTGAAACAAATTACACAATTTCTTGCAGACTTGCACTCTTTATGGAGCGATATGGGGTCAATAAAACATTAGTGACAGGTCCTCTTTATGGAGAGATGTGTGGTCAGTGAGACGTAATTAATGACAGGTCCTCTATGGAGAGATATGGGGTCAATAAGACATAATTCGTGACAGGTCCTCTTTATGAAGAGATATGGGGTCAATAAGACATAATTAGTGACGGGTCCTCTTTATGGAGAGATATGGGGTCAATAAGACAGACAGGTCCTCTTTATGGAGAGATATGGGGTCAGTGAGACATAATTAGTGACAGGTCCTCTTTATGGAGAGATATGGGGTCAGTGAGACATATTAGTGACTATGGAGAGATATGGGGTCAATAAGACATAATTGTGACAGGTCCTCTTTATGGAGAGATATGGGGTCAATGAGACATAATTAGTGACGGGTCCTCTTTATGGAGAGATATGCGGTCAATGAGACATAATTAGTGACGGGTCCTCTTTATGGAGAGATACGAGGTCAGTGAGACATAGTTAGTGACAGGTCCTCTTTATGGAGAGATATGGGGGGTCAATGAGACATAATTAGTGACAGGTGCTCTTTATGGAGAGATACGGGGTCAGTGAGACATAATTAGTGACAGGTCCTCTTTATGGAGAGATACGGGGTCAGTGAGACATAATTAGTGACAGGTCCTCTTTATGGAGAGATACGAGGTCAGTGAGACATAATTAGTGACGGGTCCTCTTTATGGAGAGATATGGGGTCAATGAGACATAATTAGTGACAGGTCCTCTTTATGGAGAGATACGGGGTCAGTGAGACATAATTAGTGACAGGTCCTCTTTATGGAGATATACGGGGTCAATGAGACATAATTAGTGACAGGTCCTTTATGGAGAGATACGGGGTCAGTGAGACATAATTAGTGACAGGTCCTCTTTATGGAGATATGGGGGTCAATGAGACATAATTAGTGACAGGTCCTCTTTATGGAGAGATACGGGGTCAGTGAGACATAATTAGTGACAGGTCCTCTTTATGGAGAGATATGGGGTCAATGAGACATAATTAGTGACAGGTCCTCTTTATGGAGAGATATGGGGTCAATGAGACATAATTAGTGACGGGTCCTCTTTATGGAGAGATATGCGGGTCAATGAGACATAATTAGTGACAGGTGCTCTTTATGGGAGAGATACGGGGTCAGTGAGACATAATTAGTAACAGGTCCTCTTTATGGGAGATATTGGGGGTCAATGAGACATAATTAGTGACAGGTCCTCTTCATATGGAGACATAATAGTGACAGGTCCTCTTTATGGAGATATTGGGGGTCATTGAGACATAATTAGTGACAGGTCCTCTTTATGGAGAGATATGGGGTCAGTGAGACATAATTAGTGGGGTCCTCTTTATGGAGAGATATGGGGTCAGTGAGACATAATTAGTGACAGGTCCTCTTTATGGAGAGATATGGGGTCAATGAGACATAATTAGTGACAGGTCCTCTTTATGGAGAGATATGGGTCAGTGAGACAAAATTAGTGACGGGTCCTCTTTATGGAGAGATACGGGGGGTCAATGAGACATAATTAGTGACAGGTCCTCTTTATGGAGAGATATGGGGTCAATGAGACATAATTAGTGACAGGTCCTCTTTATGGAGAGAGATCTGGGGTCAGTGAGACATAATTAGTGACGGGGTCCTCTTTATGGAGAGATATGGGGTCAGTGAACATAATTAGTGACAGGTCCTCTTTATGGAGAGATATGGGGTCTATAAGACATAATTAGTGACAGGTCCTCTTTATGGAGATATTGGGGGTCAATAAGACCCCACATCTCTCCTCTGCAATGTAAAGCATAGATCTAGTGCTTAAAAAAAAAAAAAAATGGCCGGAACTAGAAGTGACATCACTCCGGTCCTCCAAGGGCATAGAGATGAGTGGCAGCCATCTTTCCTTCACTCATCTCTATGCCCAGCGCCGGGATCGATGGTTTCTAAGGTAAGAAGGAACAGGCGGACGGGCGGAGTCGAGGGGCGGGGTTTTTTCGGCACCTGTATCGGTGCTTTTTTTTTCCCCATTTCGGCCAACAGCCAAAAGGGGTGTTTTCATCCAAAACGTTTAGACCACCGAAATATCGGCGCACCCCTAATACCGAGTGAAAAAAGTACAGTTTTTAGTTCTTTAATAATGTGAATTTCCTCTCATAACAGATAAAAAGAAAAAACGAAAAAAGGACGTCCGCGACCGTTCCAGCGAAAGAATCGCAGAGACGATTAAGCAGGAGCGCATGGACCCGGGGTACGAAAAATACAACACCAACCCAACCTCATCCAGGCAAGACCGGGATCAAAGGAGGGCTCCGGAAAAAGAGAGCGCTTCGGGGAGCACGGCCAAACCAGCAGCCTACGAAAATATAAATCCGAAGAAAAGCGGCACGCGGCGGAGAGCAAACGTCGGGATTATGAGGAGAGACGCTCAAAGGAACCCAAGAGGAAAAGATGATCGTGGCGAATGTGCGGCGCAGGACACTTTGAGGATCTTTGGTTTGAGATCAAAACATAAAGTAACAAAGTCTTGGGGGCGGGGAAAGCAGAAGAAGCTCGTGTGTTGTATATTGGAGAAATATTATTGGACCGTTTTTCTGTTTCAATAAATTTTTTATTTAATGTTTTTATGTAAATACTGCAGAATGATTATATTTTTGAGGGTTTAACCGCCTCCCACCCGCCATATAAGGAAATGACGGGCGCAAGGCGGTTCTCTCGTTCTGGGAGGGCGTCAATTCCTAAATGCATTGGAAACCAATTAATCCGTTCGTATTGTGAAAAAAATTTGTAAATGCATTGAAAAACCAATTAATCCGTTCTGGAGGTCAGAAAAAATTTGATAAAAAGTCTATCTGTTCAAAACTCTTTATAAAGTGCACTTTAAAGGCATAAATACTATACAGGGACATGATTAAAAATTAAATTGTAAATGCATTGAAAACCAATTAATCTGTTCCAGAGGTCAAAAAAAGTAGAAAAAAAGTATTTTATCTGTTCAAAACGCTTTATAAAGTGCACTTTAAAGGCATAAATACTGTACAGGGACATTAAAAATTAATTTGTAAATGCATTTAAAACCAATTAATCTGTTTGGAGGTCAGAAAAAAAGTAAAAAAAAGTCTTATTGTTCAAAACTCTTTTATAAAGGCAATTAAATACTGTACAGGGACATGATTAAAAAACAATTCATAAATGCATTGAAAACCAATTAATCCGTTCTGGAGGTCAGAAAAAAAGTGAAAGAAAAGTATTTTATCTGTTCAAAACTCTTTATAAAGTGCACTTTAAAGGCATAAATACTGTACAGGGACATTAAAAATTAATTTGTAAATGCATTGAAAACCAATTAAGCCGTTCGTATTGCGAAAAAAATTTGTAAATGCATTGAAAAACCAATTAGTCCGTTCCGCAGGTCAGAAAAAAGTAGAAAAAAAGTCTTTTATCTCAAACTCTTTAAAGGCATAAATACTGTACAGGGACATGATTAATAATTAATTGGTAAGTGCATTGAAAACCAATTAAATCTGTTCTGGAGGTCAGAAAAAAAAGTAAAAAAAAAAAAAGTTTTATCTGTTCAAAACTGTTTATAAAGTGCACTTTAAAGGCATAAATACTGTACAGGGACATGATTTAAAAAAAAAAAAAAAAAATCGTAAATACATTGAAAACCAATTAATCTGTTCTGGAGGTCAGAAAAAAAAGTAAAAAAAAAAAAAGTATTTTATCTGTTCAAAACTGTTTATAAAGTGCACTTTAAACTTTAAAGGCATAAACACTGTACAGGGACATGATTTAAAAAAAAAAAAAAAAAATCATAAATACATTGAAAACCAATTAATCTGTTCTGGAGGTCTGAAAAAAGTTTAAAAAAAAAGTTTTATCTGTTCAAAACTCTTTATAAAGTGCACTTTAAAGGCATAAAGGGACATGATTAAAAAAAATTTGTAAATGCATTGAAAAACCAAATAGTCCGTTCCGCAGGTCAGAAAAAAGTAGAAAAAAAGTCTTTTATCTCAAACTCTTTAAAGGCATAAATACTGTACAGGGACATGATTAAAAAATTAATTGTAAGTGCACTGAAAACCAATTAATCTGTTCCGGAGGTCAGAAAAAAAAGTAAAAAAAAAAAAAAGTTTTATCTGTTCAAAACTTTATAAAATGCACTTTAAAGGCATAAATACTGTACAGGGACATGATATAAAAAAAAAGAGGTATTTCTGTATTAGCTGAGCTCCTGAGAGCGACCCATTCTTTCACCAATGTTTGCAGAAGCAGTCTGCACGCCTAGGGGCTTGATTGTATACCCCTGTGTCCATGGAGGGGAAACCCCTTCATTAACCAGACTGCAACACTGTAACCATAGCAAGTCCTAAGGTGTGTGAGGCTGCGGCAGAGGCTGATCTGTGTCAGACATTTGTATAGACATCCCCAGGATTTATACGATTGTGCCGTCTCTGGGCCAGCATCTCCGTCTAGGAAGTAGCTGATGACGCCTGAACAAAGATGGCTGCATCATGCAGATGAAGGAATTGTCAAGGGGGGAGTACAGTTATCTCATAGGTAATAAATACCTGGAGCTATTACAATGACACATTACTGAGCATGATGCACTGAAAAACATATGAGGACAGTCATAAAAAATTGTGATTTTTTTTTTTTTTTTTTTTTTTTTTTTTTTTTTTTTTAGAATAAACATGGAGCCTATATCGGCCTGATGTAAGTATAGCATATATGGGGGGCAGCCATATTTATTACATAGACTAGTGGTGCACGGAAATGAAAATTCTGGTACCGAAACCGAAAATTCAGGATGCACTTGGCCGGAAACCAAAACGGACAGTTTTTTTAAAAATTAATAATTTTTCAAATGCAATTTTTTTTGAAAAAAAAAAAATACACTTTAACCCCTCGCCCTCCTGAGGATTTACCCCCCTTAATGACCACACCTCTTTTTGCTACTCGGCGCTGCACTAATTCAACTGACAATTGCGCGGTCATGCAACGCTGCACCCAAATGAAATTTACGTCCTTTTTTCACACAAATAGAGCTTTCTTTCGGTGGTGTTTGATCACCTGTGCGCTTTTTATTTTTCACGCAATAAACATAAAAAGATCAAAAATTTTTTGAAGAAAAACGATATTTTTTACTTTCAGCTATAAAAAATATATAGTAAACTCAAAGTTGGTTATAAATTTAGGCCAAAATGTATTCTGCTCCATGTTTTTGGTAAAAAAAAATCCCAATAATTGTATATTGATTGCTTTGTGTGGAAGTTATAGCGTCTACAAACTATGGTATACACCGCGTTCCAAATTATTATGCAAATTCTATTTAAGTGTCACAAAGAGGCAATAATTTTGTTTTTCAGTGTAACTCGTGGATGGCATTGTGTGTCAGGGCTCTTCTGATCACTGACATCAATCTGGGACACCTGTGATAATTAGATTGGCCGGTGAGCCCAATTGAAGGAAAAACTCCTAAAGGACGGAGTTCCACATTATTAAGCAGAGCACCATTTTCAAGCAATATGGGGAAGAAAAAGGATATCTCTGCTGCCAAAAAGAGTGAAATAGTTTCGATGCTTGGACGAGGGATGAAAACATTCGATATTTCACGAAAACTTAAGCGTGATCATCGCACTATGAAGAGATTTGTGGCGGATTCAGAGCACAGACGGGTTGGTGCAGATAAAGGCACATTGAGGAAGATTTCTGCCAGATCCATGCATCGGATCAAGAGAGCAGCTGCTAAAATCCCATTACATAGCAGCAAACAGATATTTGAAGCTGCTGGTGCCTCTGGAGTCCCACGGACATCAAGGTGTAGAGTCCTCCAGAGTCTTGCAACTGTGCATAAACCTTCTATTCGGCCACCACTAACCAATGCTCACAAGCAGAAATGGCTGGATTGGGCAGAAAAATACATGAAGACTAATTTCAAACAGTCCTGTTCACTGATGAGTGCCGTGCAACCCTGGATGGTCCAGATGGATGGAGTAGTGGATGGTTGGTGGACGGCCACCCTGTTCCAACAAGGCTGCGACGTCAGCAAGGCGGTGGTGGAGTCATGTTTTGGGCCGGAATCATGGGAACAGAGCGGGTCGGCCCCTTTAGGGTCCCCGAAGGTGTAAAGATGACCTCTGCAAAGTATGTGGAGTTTATGACTGACCACTTTCTTCCCTGGTACAGAAGGAAGAACTATGCTTTCCGTAATAAAATCATCTTCATACATGACAATGCACCATCTCATGCTGCAAAGAATACCTCTGCATCAATGGCTGCTATGGGGATAAAAGGAGAGAAAGTCATGTGTGGCCTCCATGTCCCCTGGCCTCAATCCTATGAGAACCTTTGGAGCATCCTCAAGCAAAAGATCTATGAGGGTGGGAGGCAGTTTACATCCAAACAGCAGCTCTGGGAGGCTATTCTGACATCTTGCAAACAAATTCAAGCAGAAACTGTCCAAAAACTCCCAAGTTCAATGGATGCCAGACTTGTGATCTGCTATCAAATAAGGGCTCCTATGTTACAATGTAACGTGACCGCTTCAAATGTTTAAAAGTTACAATGTTGTTAAAAGTTTGATTGAAATAGCTTTTGATTTCAGTAAATCTGCTGCAAACACAACAAATGACAATTTTCAGTTCTTTACAACCTATAAAGTGTTTTGAAACTTCCTGTGCGGAATAATCCGGAACACAAATCCTGTTATCATTAGGAGGTTTGTTCAATAAAATGTGAATTGTACTCTTATAGTTGTAACCTGAGAATTATGCTGATTGTTATTTACATCAATTATTGAGGGAAATCAGAAAAATATCATCTGCAGAATAATTTGGAACACGGTGTAGATACTGCAATTTACGCCATTTTTTTTGCTATACAGCGCTGCGCTAGTTTAACGGACAATTGCGCGGTCATGCAATATGGTACATAAATTAAATTTATGTCCTTTTTTCCCCACAAGTAGAGCTTTCTTTTGGTGGTATTTGATCGCCTGTGCGGTTTTTAGTTTTTGCGCTATAAAAAGGCTGACAATTTTGAGAAAAAAAAAAAAACAAATATTTTGGACTTTTTGCTATAAAACATGTCCAGTAAAAAAAAAAAATAAAAAAATCAAATTGTCAAATTTTGGCCAAAATGCATTCTGCAACATGTTGTTGCTAAAAAAAAACCCCAATACGTGTAAATTAATTGGTTTACATGAAAGTTATAGCGTTTACAAATGGCGGGAAAGATACTGGGATTTAAAAAAATTTTTTTATACTAATTATGGCGGCGATCAGCGACTTATGGTGAGGATCAGCGACTTATGGCGGGACTTCGGCGGACATTCTGACATTGGGGGGGAACTGACTTGGGGTCATTAACATCCCCAGTGACATCAATACAGTGATCAGTGCAAAAAAAAAACACTGACACTGTACTAATGGCACTGGGGAGGAAGGGGTTA